ATCAATATCTTATGGGGGGATGACTTCTGTCGTCCAATGTACTTGCTGTCTCCTTCCTTTTCATGTAACTGGCAATTCGGTAAGTATGTATCTGTAATTCTAAACATGTTTTACACAGGAGAATTGCATTAAGATAATGATGGAGATCTTATTTCAAGTTCACATTATCTACTAACTCATCACATTCCAAAACCAGAGTTCAACAATAGGCAAATAAAATTGTTGTCTACTTTCCTCCCCCCAACGGATTTCTTGCTGAGATCAAAGTACTCACAGGTCCGAAGTAGATCAATCCCACTATTGTGGTTCCCAGGATCAACAAATTTCTCCATGAACTGCTCATTTAGTGTGAAACTCATGCATTTTGTGACCACATCAAATGACTCTGCAACAAAAACAATGATTGCTTGTTTTAATTATAAACATTTAACAATAATCTCTTTCTAGCAGTCTGCTTCTCTGAAGTAGAACATAAGATTCTTCCAAAAAAAACAACCAATCTCTGGCCCAGAATAACACACAGGATTCATCAATGCCCAACAGAAGCCACTGGCTCTCAGTGGAAAGCTTAAGGCACACAGGCACAATAAAAGGGAACAAAGTACTAGCAGTAAAAAGATCTAGAGGATATGTGTAAGGAAGATTAGAAAGAAGGGGCAAGGAACAAAAAAATGAACTTTGATCTCCCTCAAACTACCTCACCAATAGTCTTTCTCATATTAGATGTTATGTGTCAGGTACATTTGAGATGGTTCTGACTCAAAGCGACCCCATGCACAACAGAATGAACTGTGCCCAGTTCTGCGCTATCCTCATAAACATTGCTACATTTAAGCCCATTGCTGCTGCTGCTACTATGTCAATCCATCTCGTTCACTGACCCTACATTTAATCAAACATTATGTCTTTCTCCAGGGATGACAATTTTACCCTTCCAGTTTCTCAGGCCACTCAGCATCCCTTCCTCACGATATACAAATCCTATTTGGCTCTAATTTTTCTCTAACAAAAGTCATCTCCTAATAAACCATATATTTTACTTATTGTTAATTGCCTGTCATCTTTTAATAGACTATTAGCTCCCACATCCTTGCTCATATACACTTAAATCAGGATATCCTAAAGGCTCTACCTTCAAAATATATCCAGGAGCCAACCAATTCTTTTGCTACCACCTTTATCTGAGTTACAATCATCTCCTACCTGAATTCTGGGCAGTCCCCAGTTATGAACAAGTTCCTAAGGGTGTCTTTATGTCAACTTTGTAAGTTAAATCCTAACAGGTGTAAGGTGTTCTTCTGTAGCCTTACTTTAGTGCAAGAAAATGCTCCAAATCTTTTCCATGATTTAAAAACTATAGGTGTAGTGCGAAGATGATTGTGAAGAAGACTTACTTGCAACTAAGGGTTGATTCAGTCACTTCAAAGTAAGGGCAAATTTACATAACATTAAAGGGCATGTGTGAAAGTCAGTTCTTAACCCACGCCTTACTGTACTGTAATAGCCTCCAAACCATTCTCTGGCTCGCATCCTTGTCCTTTGCTTATCAGTCAGAGTGATCAGATCACACTTCTCCTCTGCTCCTAGGTTTCCCAGCACACTGAAAATAAAACCCTGCAGCCTATCTACTCTCTCCCTGCATGACATGCCCCATTCCCTCCGAGAGTATGTCTCTTCACAGTACTTTTCACTCTCCCTTCATTCTAACTTTGATGATCCTTAGACACTTCAGGTATGCATTAGCCATAGTCTTTGCAAAGCTGTTCCCTCCAATCTAAATGAGGATAAATAAACACTAAGGAGCTCTGGTAGCGTAGTGGTTACGAATTGGGCTGTGATCCGCAAGGTCAGCAGTTCGAAACTACCAGCTGCTCTGCGGGAGAAAGACGAGGCTTTCTGCTCCTGTAAAGATTTACAGCCTTGGAAACCCTGTTCAGGGTCGCTATGGGTCGGAACCGACTCGACGGAACTTAATAACAACAACAACAAGATTTAAAAAGGCTTTCCCAAGTAAAGGACAATTACACATCCAACTGATACTAATGAACACCATGGCAATTCATGGCAGTTGGGGAAAGAAGGTGGTAGGGAGAGAAGAGAGATTTAAGAACTATTTTTCATGTAAAGAACCCACAAGCCTGCAACCATCATGCCACTTTATCTTTTCCAGAATAAAGGACAGAGAAGTCAAAATAAGAATACCTGTCCTTTCTGGTGGGCTATACCAATGTGTGTTTTCGGGTATGGTAATACATCGTCTCCACAATCCCACTGTGCCATTATATCGAAAGAGTGCATCGTTATAACTCTTTTCATCTGCCTCCTCACTAATGAATTCATCCAAGATGCTTTTGTTCAATTCACTGAGATTTTCTTGAATTGGACTTCGATATTCGTACCAGAAGTCTGTGCCAATTGAGGCTGCCATGTAGATGGTAGAAATGAGACTGAGCACACAAGCAATTACAAATGCTGTAGCAAAACGGTTATCCATTCTGGCATTCAGACTGCTCTGTTTAAAAAGTAAGAAGAAAATAATAAGTTAGACTTCAAGAGCAAACAAAGATTATTTGTAAGGAATTTTCTCAAAAATCACCTTTTAGCTATTCCCCAGCCCATGGTTAAAGTAATGCACATTCAAATAGTTAACAAAGTTTCAAATAAAAGGTAAGCATGTTTTAAATTAACTTTAAAAACACAACTCATTATCGTTAAAGGACTTATTGAATGCTCACATACCCAGGATGCTACGGAGACAGAGGTCTTGTTCTCTAGTCTATCACCTGCATACTAAAACAGACAACACTGAAATGGACATACACATTACAGATACAAACAATAAACAAGCCGAGTCAGCAGTGCTTCGGGCATAAATTATAAATAAATGACAGACTGAATTTTTAGCAAGCTGCAGAACATGAATTGTTCTGGGTTTGAGTGTGAAAGAGACATAGAAAAGGAAGCGCTGGAAATCAGCTCCTCCCAGTTACCTTGGAATTGAGAAGGCTTCTAAAACAAGGTTATGAACCAGGTGCTATTTGTAAGACAGAGTTGCAGATGTTTGGTAAACCCGGAGGGAAAGGTTATTCCAGGAATACGAAATTACAAAGAGAGCAATAATAACATATAATAATGCTAGATAAGCCTCTCCCCCTAACCCACTAAAGTTAAGCCAAGCTTCTTTACTTCTTCTACTCTCCCCATTGCTTACACTTGTGAACGTGTTTATCTGCATGTTCCCACAAACCCAAAAGATCTCTCCTCACCCATATAGACAACTCTGACTTGGGTAAATATGTATACTCCCAAGGCGTAGGCAGGGCTCAACAGCAGTAGTAAATGGCCGCAGTAAAATGACTCAAGGCGGATCAAATACTGCAAATATACACCGTGACTGAACTAGACACCTTACAAAGGCGCACGAAAACAGGTTCGCAAACTGAGGTTGCAGAGTTTTGAAGACGGGAAGTGACTCAGAAGAGATCAGGACAATACAGTAATTAACAATAACTCCACAAGTTAGGTTTGTTTTTTGGGTTTTTTTTAATCCTCTTTCATCCTAATGCTTTCAATTGACCTTAATAGGTCCGGAAACCAGAAGGGGGCTCGCCCAGGAGAACGTTCGATCGAGAGGCGGACGCACTTAGCGCGACCACAGAAAGGGCGCCAGCCGGGAAAGGCCAAGGCGGGCTGGGGATGAGGCGGAGTAGCAGCCCCGCGCAGCCCCCGGCCACGGGCCCAGAATATCTATCCGACCAGGCCCCTCCCCAAAGCGCTCGGCCGAGGGAAAGTCCCAGCCGCAGCCCCGCCGCTCGGAACCCGTCCAACCACAGGCACGAAAAGGGAGGGGCCCCTTATCAAACGGCCTGGAACGCCGAGCGACTAGCGACCCCCGCCCGACGCCACCGGCCCAGCTCACTCACCGCCCATCCTCCTGCTCCGCCAGCTTCACCCCCTAGCTCAGACCACAGCAACCTTTTCTCCCCGCGCCTCTTCTGACGCACTTCCCTGCAGGGTCCGCCCCCTCCATAACTCCTGCGCCTCCGCCTTCGCCTCCGTCTCCTCCCCCGGCCCGGCCCAGGTCCAGGGCCGAGGGGGTTTGTGGGAGTTGTAGGAGGGAAGGTGGGAGAGCTGCGGGATGCCAAGGATGGCATTCCCAGTGTGACGCGCGATGCATTCTGGGGGATGTAGTAGTTCAGTTCGGGAAGGCACGTTAGTGCGCGAAAGGGAAATGTGAGCAGCCGCACTCTTTTATTTTCCAAGAAAGGGCGTGGGTCCTGAAAGTAAGGACACCGACACAGCTGTTAGTGATTGTGACCTGTGTTATTCAGTCCTGCACTCTTCCTATCACACTACCACACTTCTAAATATGGATATAAACGAACAGCTAGGCAAAGGCTTATGGATATTATACTTTTGAAATATTAGCCTTTATGCCCTTTCTTCTGCCGATCTACTGCCATTGGAGCAGTTAGTCTTTCTGCTTAAATTTGACTAAGAGGGCTATGATGCAGGAACTAGAATCTATCGAAAATGTAATAACATTTTAATTTCTTACAGTTATGCTGTGGCTGCCTTCTCTTTATTTGTTGTTGTTGTTAAGTGCCATCGAGTCGGTTCTATCTCAGAGCAACCCTGTACAGGGTTTCCGAGGCTGTAAATCTTTACGGGAGCAGAAAGCCTCATCTTTCTCCTGCAGAACAGCTGATTGTTTCGAACTGCTGACCTTAATGTTCGCAGCCCGATTTGTAGCCACTACACTATCAGAGCTCCTTATTGGTTCCTATACTTGGCATCTCATACAGTTTTGAAGCTATTTTAGGAATTCAAATGCAGAATAGGAGTTTTTCTTTTTTTGTTTTTTTTCTGGAAAAGGTATTACTGAAGAGGTGGCATTTGTGTTGTAATTGGGTTTTAAATAACTAAATCTTATTCTTTTTTTTAAAAAAAACTGTTTACCCTGTCTTTTGATATGCCTTTTGTTATGTGTCCTTGGTTATTTTATTCTTAGTATCCCCATGTTTATTTCAAAGAGTCTTTAAAATTCTAAAAATGACTGTTAGACCTAGCCTAATTACTAGTGATATGCCCTTTGTTACTTTATCTAGTCAGCTTTTACTGTGAGTTCAGTTTTCTGATAGCATTGTGCCCTTTAAATTAAAACTCCAGTACTATGCAATCTGTTCCTTTGATGGCTCAGGCAATTAATTGTATTTTTTTTTTTCCTAAATTGTGCTCCAAAATGCTATCAATCTATGATTATTGTTGTTAAGTGCCGTAGAGTCGGATTCTGAGGAGTGGCTGGTGAGCTGGAACTGCCGGTCTTGCAGTTCAGTTGCCACATTCTATTACTAAATATCATATTTTAAAGTGACCATATATGATAAAGCAAATCATTTTGTTTATAGTTACTTCAATCACCAATAGTTTGCTGAAGAAGTCAGATTTATTAGGAATAGTTTATTTCACAGACTTACAACTTGAATG